AAGGCAAAGGAAGAAATTATTCATTTTTGCTCTGATATTTGTATTGTTCTAAAGCTAAGATTTTATGTGGATCACATGGAACCACAAGCAAGCAAAAGGTGGCATCCATGTATCACAAAGAATTAGGATTTACTACCAAAGCAGCAATGCAGCTCACCTCTTCAAGCTCCTTCTCCATATCTGCATATTCGGAGTTTCCAGGGTCATCAGTCAAAAGTTTACTAACCTGAAACAACGAGAAAACTATCTATAAATCCAGGACAAATTATATTGTAAATATGATTGGTAGAAAAAACTCACAAAGAAGCTAAAAAAGTGAATTTTACAACACCAAACATGTAAATTCTCACAAATATAAATGCTGACAACAATCCTTAATCACAGAAATATAAAAGGGGATCCAAGACCATGATGTGAGATTAAAAAAAAGTAACAAGAAAATTTTTAAGTTTAAGCAAAAATAGCTGCAATAAGCAATAACTTCCCAAAAACTAATCAAGGAATTGGACAAACTTTTACAGTAAAAACATACAATTAACAGAACTTATTTTTAAAAATAAAACTCTTGCAAAGTTGATAGACAAGGTTAAACATTAAGAATTAGGCACGTATTATCATTTGTGGATGTTGCAGAAGCCCAATGGAATTCCTTATTTCTATCATTGAACGATGGCTATTGCATAAGACAAACCATAGAGAGTGATATCACGCAAACGACATGCTTCAAGAAGAATATTTTAGATGTTATCGTATCCTGACTTTCTGTCCCATGTTCCACGTTGTTCTACAGTAAACATGCAGTTTTTTGCATTCATCACAAGTAACATACTTCGATAAGTTAAAGATACAATAATAGCAGCCTCAATTACATACAATATGCATACTAGCATTAAGATACATACAGTGCCCGTAGAACATGCCCCAAGTGTCCAATAGTATTAAGGTATCTCACTGGTGAAATAAAATATATCTGCATCTTCAACCATAAAATTTTTTCTGTATCAGGCATCTTCAGAATCATCTAAATCTCTGTGAATCTTAGTTTGAGAACCCTCTTTGCCTCAATAAATATCTTAGATTCCTATATCATAAAAAATTGAAAGTTGATCTTTTCAATCCATTATGGTTATGTTACCTACACACAAGGGTATGGGGATATCAACACAGATACAACAATGAATCATGTTCCGTTAAAACTTCATAAAATATAACACGAATACGAAATTAAAAATATCACAAACATATAATATATGTGACAGACATAGAATTTTCTTTAGAGGTTTAGAAAGTTACTTCCAAGTTCCAACTTACTTATATAGTTACTAGTGACAATAAACGAGAATGACAAAAGCCTAATGAGCACTGCCGACAACAACAACAACTTGGCTATATGGATGGATCTTTTGCCGCTATTGAAATCTGTAAAAAATAATTTGTTTAATTAAGTTAATATTATTTAAGTTTTTATTTATATTTTTTATTAAAATCTTCTTATGTCTCTTTCTCCCATCATACTACTAATGATAATTATTTCACCTCTTCTAAGTATTGCATCTACAAGTCTTTTCAACTCATAAAAAATTGAACACTACTAATTTTATTAACCAAAAAATAATGCTCAATGCAAATGAAGATCAACCAGCCAAGCCAATCATAATGAGATCAACGTTCAACAAAGTCAAAGTGCTCCCAAGAAGAATCCACAAAGCATTCTCAAGATAGCTTAGCAGTACTAAATTTCCGATATTATTCGAAGAACTTTATACTTCAAATGTCAGATATGCATCCAAGAAGCATCAAATGAGACTAAATATCCAACGCATGTTCAACATACATACGATAAGGATTGTAAAACATATGTGCCCTGATCCTTGACATGTTGTATCGAGTATCTTCAATATAAAATCCAATAACCACATCTGCAGTTTCCTAAAACATTGAATGCTCCAGATTATGGTATGGGTACGAAATGAGACATGCTACTTAGCTCATAGTAGCATTCCCTGGTACCCTTTTATGAATCATGTTACACACCAAACCACTTACCTATATAACTTATTACAACACGCAATAATTTCTTTTGCTAAGTTACCAGCTGTGTTTAATTAGATAAAAGAAATGATGATAAATAACTTAGAAAACTTTGAACTGGTTCTGAATGTTAAATGCTTCATATGTTGTTTTGAGGTTTTACTGGAATGGGTTATGGAGTAAGAATATATTGTTATTGTAATTATATAAATAAACAATATTTAGGAGATTGGATTTCCGATTCAACAATCAGGATCATGTACCACCACAATCTGGGATGAAAAAAATACCCAATGCATGGTGATAATGATCAAAACAGCATGCTTACAACAGATAGTTTACTGTTTTTGCTTGAACTATGAGTAACATTATACACAACAGAGCCAACATATCTCATGCTAAAATGCACTATAAAATATTCATCAGCCAAGAAGGGCTCATGACTCATTGTGGACACTATCCAGGAAACCATGAACCTTCTGTTGAATGTGATATCAGGTGGACGTCTTTTTCACCTAAAAACTAATAAATTCAGAGCAATGAACAATTAGATTCATTGGCTCAGTATATAATCTTTAAAAGAAATGGTACAACATACAAGTAAAACTAATACAAGTAATCATGCATATTGTGTCATGACTCATGAATGCATGACTCAAATGTTATGAAAATACTCCCCATTGATAATTGATGCCATTTTATTGCTTAGAATAGCATGCTCACGAAGAAGAAAAGTTGAAGCTGATCAGAAGCTCCAGTGTTATCAGTGCATAATCAACAAAAAACAACTAAACTGAAATAACACTATCAATCGTGGTCACAAAAATATCACACACAAGTATTACTTCTATCAAACAAATGAACATCGAACTAGAGAATGTGCAATTTCAATTTATCATTCCATTTCTTAATAATCGTTTCACCTTGCAACTTTACATATAAGATACAAAATTTCCATGGTCCACAGATCAAGCCAAACCCATCCAGGAAACATGGGCACAATATTAAATAAGCTCATCAAACAACTGACATCAAATTAATCAATACTGCTATGATTCCAGCAACCAATTCCAAAACTAAGAAAATTGTCAACAATTTCTAATAACTCAAAGACGAAATATAACATACAGCTACGAATTGTCACTTAAGTATCAGTAATAAAGTTCAAATTATGCAAAGCAAATGGAATCTGATTACTTATACCTACAAAAAATAAAAATAAAAAAAATCTTTGTAGCAAAATATAAAATGTTTAACCAGCAACAAGAGATTTTTTTTTTAATCTATTTTTTTTTTTAAATCTAAAACCCCCAAGTCCTTTCTCTTATATAGATTACAAAACCATGCAACCCTAGAAACGGATCTCGAACACATGAATACCTACAAGACAATGGCATTTGAGGAACCCTAACGAGTCAAGAGAGAGACCACAGCATCATAACATAGAAACCATAATACCATGGAAGCCATCGAGCGGATCAAGTAACAACAAAAGCACCAATTTTGTGGTCCAAGAACAATAATCTCGAGAAAAGAAGTAGAAACGAAACGCAATCGAACCTCACGGAGCTGATCTTTATACGTGGAGAGAGTGGAAGCGAGCTCTTCGATGCTTAAATCGTCGCCCCCTTGCATCTTCTTCTCCTTGTATTTTCCTTCCGGCCTTCTCCTCGCGAGTACAAACGCTTCTTCCAGAGGCTTCGGCGATCAAGAGAGAACCTCCAATTCTGCTCTTTGCTTTTTCCTCTTAATACTCCCCATATAAAAAACAAAGAGCCAATTTCTGAAAAAGGCCCCCAATTATTTGGAAAGCCCACAAAGCGCCCAGTCGTTTTCAAAGAAGCCCAAAACGTTGCAGCGGTGCAAAATGACCTGAATGTCCCTTCGGTTCGTGCCCTTTCACGTTACTCAATCGGGTTGGATCCGATTCGGTCGTTGGTTCGCTTCACACCCGCAGTTCGTTTTCATCTATTATAGTATATTAGTCTGTTAAAATGTTTTTGGCTTATAGTTTTTTTTATCATCACAATAAAAATATTATAAAATCTACTTAAAAATAATATAAATGAGTCAAATTAATTGAGATCACATAATTTAGATCATATGATCGCGTATAGTTTTACGTTTAGATTGAGGCATAATATCCTTGTTGCATTAAATTAAATTAATTGAGCCAACTTGTATTCTCCTTATAAATATATTCTGAGTACAATGAATAATTTAGCCCAGTGCTATTAAAGCCACAGTTCATCTCAACCAAATTTATTTAATCTCATGAAGTGAAACCTTTAACCTACATGGTTTCTTTTCTTAGAATGCTTTAGGAGTATTCGGAATCTCTTAGGACACATTTCAAGGGAGGAGACACTCATGCCTTAATTTTCTTCCTAAATTCCATGTGCATATATTACCTCAGATGCAACTTCTCTGATAGATCTTCTTCAAATACTTATGATTCCTCCTGTAAAAGGGAATCTTTTGTAATTTGGTTTCTGCATCTATATGATGTTTACACTCATCATGTATTGAGTTTTGAGCACATACTCATCTTATTCTTCCAAAATTTAAATTAGGTTTCATTTAATTTGGACATAAAAAATCAATAATGAATTTAGTATTAGTTCTGAGTTTTAAGCATACATAGAAATATTTTTTTATATGGTTTCAGTTTTATAATCATAAGTTAAATAAGAAAATATTCTTTTTAGATACTAATAAACTTTTTTTATTATTGCTAAAAGCTAATATGACATGTCTAATAGGTACCGACTAGATTTCACATATTGAATTTTAATTGATCAAAAATAATAACCACATTAGGAAATTATATATAGTAATTCTAATGATACAAGTCAAATCGACATAGAATATTGAATAATGATGTACCACTCTAAGACTCAAGTTGTCCATATAAAAAGGCTGTAACTGTGCATTCAAATGCAACCAGCAGTCTGAAATGTCATGCTGTCACATCCAAGATAGTAGCCTTCCTTTTTTTTTCAAATATTGCAAGGAAAATTTACAACTTTAATATGTCATCATACTACGGTAAACAACATCTTGATATATTGTATCAAGAGAGAAAAGAGAAATCAGACAATGTTTGACAAATACAAGAATTCACTCGATCATTCATAATTTACACATCTGTGTGACCAAAAGGATGATGAGATAGAACGCCCTTGGGTCGACATGTCGAAGGTATGTATCCCAGATCATTCATTATACGGAACATGCTTGGATATTAGTGTTCTGAAAGATGTTTCAAATTCACTAAAATTGACTCCATCATGACATGGGTGGATCCAGTGAAGGATGCAGCATGGTCTTCTACTACCCATCCAGTCATATGCTCGGATCTTCATCTTTGAAGGAGAATTGCTGTTCCAATTAAGCCAAGCCACATTGTGACAATAAGCCAGAAGGCTTGGTTCTTGGCCAATTCAGTTGGTGGGCGCCAAGTAAGGAAGTCACCCCAGTAGTCCCTTGATGGTGGCACCTGGGTAGCTTTTGTCTTTCCTCTTTCGCGGTTCTTGTACTTGTCACTCCAAGTACCTGCATACCTACCATTGCACATAACAACAGGATCAAATCATCATTTACAACAGGATATGAGTGCAAGTGAATGCTTGTTCATGAAAATCAAAGTTGAACTAAGCATCCTCAGCTGCCGATTAAGACAGTCCTGCAGATTTTATTAATGCAAAAGGTTATGTATCTCTCTGATGGAGAATAAGCACCAGGCTGACTAATGGAGAATATGTGATAGGAATTCAAATTTCAGTACTGCCCTAGGTGATAACTTCGTATGTAAACAAAATTAGTTGAGGCAAAAGGAACACATCAGTCATGATGACCATAGAGCAACTGATAGAGAAAGCACCAGCAAAAGCTTTGAATAATTTTTCACCATGTAAGTTACTCATGGATTAATTTCCCCCCTACACCACCTTAAATAAATATACCAAAGTCGATACGTAGGAAAAGGAGAAAGAAACATCAAGATTTTTTTTAGATTCTTTTAATTTACTGTTCAGTTAAGGTGTATTATAAACCTGAGAAGTGTTACATGCTTAACAAAGACTGTTTACAGTAAAGTTGCTCTTGTACAATAAAATGTAACCCACTGTTCTTATTTTCTTCACTTTTACATTCACTAGCATGTGGTTAAGAATTCTAAAAGAAGAAGAAAAATCCACAGGGTATGATCTTATGAGAAAATTGTGGACAGGAAGAAGCAACTTATTTCAAGCTTTATACAGAAGGCATTTAAATTGTAGGGAGCTGATCACAACATTTCTTAGATGATTTTATATAAAAAGGAACTCAAAAGAAGTTCTTGGGATCCGTAATATCCATGAGCTAAAGAAGAGGCATAAAAGGTTTATGGTTTTCCTTCCCGATGGTCTCTACCTCAATCCTAATTTTACTATTTAATGTCACTTGTGATGATTACTGATCCACCAAAGTTCGGTTCATCTTAAATGACCAAGTTGTTGATACTAGATCACTAACCAACTTCAGAAATGATTTCAGGACTGCTGTGGCCATTGACTAAATTAATAGATGATATCTCTGGATGGTTTCAGGACTGTTCATGTAAATTAGCTTTGTGTATTACATGCAAAGTTTTGTAAACCAAGAATCCTTAGCCGATTTTCTAAAATTAAAGAGATTAAGTTATAGATTTATGCCTGTGATTAATCATAAAGGAAAACCAACTGTAGGAAATACCACATGATACAAGGGCTGACTGTGAAAGCCAACTGCTTTGAGTGGCTGAAGTGCAGGCTAACTCACATACAGCAGGAATAGGTGATAGAAAGTGAATAAATAACCAAAAAAGTGACCGCAGAAGGTTATTTTAGAGTATCCAAAGAATGATGGATCACATACGATGGACAAACATCTTCCATAAACAAGTTAATGGGAAAGAATTATAATGTTACAACTTACAAGTGATCCTGAGAGAGCCACATGCATGACGATATAAGAATTCTCGACTAATTGTGAATTTAATCCCGAAACACCTACTTCCTGAAGGTTTTGTTGTCATCTTGATTATTCTAATATGAGGGACTGAAATTTCCTTCAAAATTGAGGAATATGGATCCAAATATAATGTTATTCATGTGAATGAAAACATCCACAAATTGATTTTTCATGTATAAGTTAATGATTATATAGCATGTCTAGAATTAAAACAATATGGAACACAGTTTTGACTACGAGAAATGTTTATTTCTCCCATTGTTTCCAGGTAGAATTTTGAATTGAAAATATTGTCACAATGAATTTTCACATTTTATTGTAAGTTGAAAGGTTCTGTCATTTTGCTTGCACAAGATTCCTTTTGATAAGCAGACAACAGTCACGTGAAAATCAAGCAACCCTTCTCAAAGGAAAAGAAAAAAATGTTTCCTACATTGATGAATCAAGATAGATATGGTCCTTCTACTGCCGTTTCTTGCTAGATTCCACTGACAACTCTACATGATCAATTAACAGCAAGCAATTTAAAAATAGAGTCACAGCCAATATTGATTTGCTTTTAATTGAAGGTTAGAAAGTATCTGTTCTTTACAGTAGCAATCTTTTAGATGCTATTATGTATGATTTACTATTAAGCTAATTACGTCATAACAAAAAGTGGTCAAAAGGAGTTCCTTACGATAGATGAGGGGTCCATGATGATGGTCATTACTGACTGTATATTATGGTCCTATGCAAGAGAGGATCATCAAAATAACATTCATCATGTGCTGATACTTATAAACTATAACTGTTATAGAAAACCATACATGTTCCCAATGGTTTAAATAGGCGCTCGCCTAGGCGCTTGGGTGGGGTAAGGCGAGGCCCACACGCCTCAAGGCTTTATCAAGTGGCGCGCTTCAGTGAAGCGCTGCCCGGGCGCTCACCTGAACCCAAGCGCCAGGCTGTCAAGCACTTAGTTGGTTTTGCCTAAGTCGTGTGGCACCCTTGCGTGTCTGTCCGCAAGGGTTAGCCTCCCCGAAACCTCCTGTGGTCCCTTAGGATATACAAAAGAAAAAAACAAGTTAGAGAAAGCGTTTCACTCGGGATCCACAAGTAATTAGTTCAACAAACACTTCATAGGCAATGCAAATTACAAACAAACTTCACAAGCTCTGAACGATCGCACAATAAAGAGTCCAAAATGATCCACTACAGACCGAAATCCCCACAAGTGCTCACATGACACAACCTTTGTTTGCAAGCCTAAGACGACCACCAAAACCATAGAAAATGAGGCTACTAAGCCTACTATCAGCCCTTTACATGTTGTGCAAAGCATGAACTAAACCGAAAGACAAGAACATAAATAAACATTACATCAAACACTTCGTTTACAATTTTGTCTGTGACAAGGCGCCTTGGGTGAGCACCCGGTTGAAGCACGACAACCAAACCAGACTATCAAGTTTGGTTCGGTTGAACAGTAGCTTAGTTGGTTTGATTGAACCAACAAAGCTAAATAGTGTTACTAAAGCTGCACATGCAAACCCAACCCACCACTATGCAACCCCGACCCATAAACCCTATTTCACGGGCAATCATTGCCTCCGCTGCTAATGCACATGATTGATGCTTCCTCTGTCGTCGATGGATGAGTCCGAAGGTCTAGCCTTCGTGCGCAATTCCCTTCGTTGTTGTTGATTCTGTGTGCAGCTCCTTCCACCGTCGAGGGAGAGGGTCGCTGTTGCTACTGTCCACAGCTTCATCCACTGCCACTATTGTCGCCCGAAAGTTCCTCCATCACCGCCGCCCTCTCTTTCTCCACTTTCCATCGTCGGTGATTCTTTTCTCCTCACTATCTACTATTAATAGTAGCTTGTTAACTACTGTTACCATAAAATAATCCATATTCAAATTTTAACACTACTAATCTCTATTTATTTACAACTGTTATTAGGGTTTCAGGATTAATGACAAATATACAAAGTAATTCAGAAGATTTATCAAAAAATCAAGAAACAATTCTGCTTAGAAATACAATTATCTAAAGGATCCTAAAGATCCTAATGTAGTTTTACTTGCATCTTCTGTGATAAGACTACTAGATGTCAAATTTTTTATGCAAAGTAGTATCAACTAGGGAACTTCAAGAATACATCAGCATGCAAGAAGTGTTCACCTGATGTAAAAGAAGAGTTGTTGACTTATATGATTAAAAAGAGGATGCAAATGAATAAATCTTATGGGAATTTATCAGAGGATTATGTTAAACATATTAGAGATGATGAAGAAGAAGATTATTTAGAAAGTATCAATGCATGTGGGAAAAGAGTATATGACAGAAAAGGAAAAGAAACCATGATTGTTAAGAAGGATAAAAAGAGATCGATAGACTTATATATGTATCAAAGATCATAGAAGCAATAAGATCAAGCAGGAGCAAAATTAAGACAAACAAATATCAGTAATGCTTGTGATAAGGAAATAAGAGGAAGAACAATTCGGTACATTGCTCGCTTCTTTTATTAAGCTGACGTTCCCTTTAGTACTTGTCATTTGAACAGTTTTGAAGAGAGAGATGATTGAAGATATTTGAAGATATGACGAAGATTAAAACTTTTTAAGTTATTATGAGTTTCGAGTTTCATTACTGAGAAAAGAGTTTGATTATACAAATGACTTATAAAAGGACCACAAAGAATGGGTAAAGCATGATTGCTCAATTATGTTAGATGCTTGAAACAACAGGAGACATAGGAGCAAGGTATGCAATACCGTACCGTACCATACCAATTTTTCGATGTTGGCTCGGTACGGCACCGGCGTACCGAACAGTACACTAGGGCGTACCGAACGGTACACCAGGGCTTACCAAGCGATTTCCTCTTACTGTAGCACTGTAGTATGGTCCGTCCGGTAGCGGACGGTCCGCGTATCGGTATGCCGTCGGACCGGTACGTACCGCCTGTACCGGGCGGTACCATTCGAAATTGCATACCATGCATAGGAGTGTAATTAATTTTATAATCAACTATTCTTTAGGAACCATGTTTGTAAAGTCAATAGATGCATCATCTTTTATAAAATCTGGAGAAAAGATATATTAGTTGTTTAACAAGTTTGTGAAAGAAATTGGTGAACAAAATATCATCGAAGTTATAACCAATAATGGAAGCAACTATATGTTAGTTGGTAAGATTTATCTTTTAAAATTTTTAATCTTTTAATTACTCTATGTCTCCAATTTAAATGAAAGAACTATGTGATTTCTAAGTCTTATTAATTTTATTATCCTTTGTCTTAGGTAAATTACTTGAAGCAAAAAGACAATACCTATATTGGACTCAATATACGGCATATTGCATTGATTTAATGTTGGAGGATATTTGAAAGATTCATAACATTAAGAAGATTTTAGAAAGGGCAATCTTTGTTATTGGATTTCTCTATAATCATACTACGGCTTTGAATATGATGAGAGAATTCACAGGTAATACGAAAATAGTGAGATATGATGTCACCCGATTTGCGACTTCTTTCTTGACATTATAGAGCGTGCATCGCCAAAAATATAACCTGAAAAACATGTTTACCTCGGAGAAATTGATGACAAGCAAATGGGCAAAAAAAGCGAAAGGCAAGAGGATCGGTGATATCATTTTAATGTCATCCTTATGGAATCTTATAGTTTATACATTAAAGGTAATGGACCCTCTTGTTCGAGTCCTTCGGTTGACAAATAATGAAAAGAAGCCTACAATGAGATATATTTATGAGCCTATGGATAGAGCAAAAACGACGATTCAAAAGTTTTTTGATGAAAATGAAGAAAAGTATAAGAAAATATTTGTAATCATTGACAAAAGATGGAATTGTTAACTTCAAGGATTGCGTTACTGACACCGGGCGATACGTACCGGTCCGAGAGGTTAACGGTATGCAGACTATCCTCTACCAAGCAGTACCAGTGTCTTGACCCTGTATTGGGTGTTCCAAGCCAAAAATTCTTGTAAGGCTATTTGTAACTTGTCTCAATGGTCATTCTAGAAACTATTTGTTATGCCAATATACTTTTATGAGGCAGAACTTCAAGTTTAGCTGAAATAAGACTACTAAGTATGGGAACCAACAAAAGCCCATTAATCTATGCTTTTGTTTAACCAGTAAAGTTTAGTAATTGTTTGAAATAGATGTGTTTGTGAAATATCTATCAAGAATATCAACCAATAAATCCTGCAAGAACAGGGAAGCTCCTTAAGTTCAGATGGTTGGACGTCTTGATGAAAACAACTAAAGACAATAGATTTTTAACATCCCAGGATAACAAAAGATGAATGATGACAAGGTGAGTGGCCTATTCAAAGAACCAAAGAAGCAGAATAACTTGACTAATTAGAGTGACAACATACGACAAGACAATATAAAGAAATGTCTGTACGAAAACTAACCAGTCATAACTTGATCCAATTAATGGTATGGTGACCATCTCATCCTTTGATATCTTCAGCTTAGGTGCTTGCAAAATATAACGGAGCTCAGCAGCCTGACGTCTAATGCTGACACTGGGATGCTGCTTCTCCAACTGCTGGTACAAGGCAATGCAGTCTCTATGACGGTTGTTGGCCTCATAAGCCATTGCAAGCCATATCTGAATCTACAATCACATAGATTATGTAATTAGACCACATAAAAAAAATTAGTCATTCAATCTGATCTTGTACTAAGAGAATTTCTTCATGTATGTTTATCTTATATTATCAGGAAGATAAACGAGTCTTTGCTGATTCAGCTACGTATGGTTTTAGATCCAACATATTCAGAAATGTATATTTTCTACAATTTTTCTGTGACCAGCAATCTCATCCTTCACTACCTCGCCACCTAAGAGTGTGGGCCTTGGGATGATGGTGAGGGCACCCTCCAGAAACTCAATCGCTCGAGAATACATCCCCTTTCCATAAGCTTTCTGCCCCAGCTCAAACATCAACTTGGCTGTCTTCCTCCTTTCTGCCTGCTCCTTTGCAACCTACTCTTGCCATAACAAACAGCAACACGATAATCAGCATCAGCCTCTTTTTCCATTGAATCGATGACATTGAAAAAAAAGAAAAGAAGAAGCATCTCTTAGCCAATCAATGATTGCAGGTACGAGAATAATCAGCATCGAGATCCTTCTTCTGAATTCAAAAAAGAATGCAACACTAGACAATATTTCATTCATACAGGAATGGTTCAATCCTCGTCTTGAGATTTCAGCTCAAAGTTACGATATTGGTCCAAAACCTGATATGCAAATCCATAAATTAAAGGCGTGGGGTGCCAAAGGAAGGACCTTTTCGAGCTCCCTTCGAACTCTTTCCCTCTTCTCCTCCTCGGTCTCCTCCTCATCCCCGTCGGCGCCCTCAGCAACCAACTCCGCCGCCCTCTTCTCGATCTCCTTCATCTCCTCCAACTCTTTCAGCCGGCTCCGGAGATCCTCCTCCCAGTCGCCCTCTCCGTCGTCTCCATCCCCACCGGCGCCACCGGAGCCGGCAGCGCCGACCTTGGAGCTGGCACCCCTCCTCCAGCGGCGGGTCACTTTGAAAGCGGCGGCAGGCTCACCTCCAGCGTCAGCGTGGTCGTGGAAAGCGAGGACATGGGCGGCCAAGGTTGCAGCGGGGGCGGGCTCCCTCCTGAGGGGGCGAGGCATGGACAACTCTGGTTGCCAGCTCTTGGCGGCCTTGGCGACCCTGGGCGAGGCGGCGTCCGCCAGGAGAGCTAGGTTCCCGAGGACAAGGGCGGAGGCCATCTGCCCCTACCTCTCTCTAAGCGGTGGGGAGCCTTGGTTCGGGGGAGGAGGGGAAGGAAGGGCCAATCGCGGAGATATTTACTTGGCTTGTTGGAATTGCTTACGGGGAACGAGAAGAGGAAGGCAACAAGGCAAGCCAAGGCAAGGCAGGGCGTCGTGAACGTGTCATTGCGTGCTACTACTTGTGGTCTGAAGACCATTTGGACTCGGACCCTAATCCACTCGAGTCTACAATGTCAAAGATGATGAACTATAAAAATGTAATTACAAAAGGATATTTAGATAGTGATCTTTGAGAGGTATTTATACACATTTAGTAGAGATGATTTTTCTCGACTGTTCAGATATTTCCTCATATTGTTGAGAAAATATTATCTGTTATTATGCTCTCGCAAGATTGAGCTTCTGGACCAATGTAATGAAAATAATTTACGGACGAGAGGCTTTATGAGTGAGTATACTAGTTGATCAATCGTATACACGTGAGAAACACATAGTTGATATCTGACAACTTGATCTCACACGAAGTGGAAGTCGATGACAATGTATTTCATACGGGAATGAAACACTGAATTGACACATAAGTATGTAGCTCCAATATTATCATAATATATTGTATGAGTAACTATGGAGTTGACGTTGAGTTCCTTGAGCAGATTTGTGATCCAATTGAGTTCAACAGCAACGATGGCGATGACGCAATATTCAGCTTCAGTTGTAGACAGTGTGACCATCTTTTGTTTTTTTAGAACTCCAATTGATTGGAGTAACTCCAAGGAAGATAATATACCATAACGTGGATGTTCTATCGTTAAAGTTTCCTACCCTATCATTATCAACAAAAACATAGAGATGAAATGAAACATTTTTTTGGAGAAAAAGATCATGGTTAAGATTTTCTTTGGTCGATGTGATCATATAATTATAATATTTGAATTTAGTCTTTCTTTTTCTTGGTGCTTTTGTTTAGGCAATATATAAGATATATATATATATATAGCATAATTTATCCAAAAAAAAAAAAACTCTTTGCTAATTGGTTTTAAGCGAATGACACCTCTCTAGTCAATTTTCTTGTGCTATCTATAATGGAATGCTTGATCTTACACACATGTCTTACTTAGGCAAGAAAATCCAGTAGTATAACATTCCTCTATTTGAATGTCTTGGTATGGCTCTTTCAAGATAAGCTTGTAGATTATTATGAATGTTGTTGCTTAATAATAACAAGTGTTTTACTCTTGAAAATAAACTATATAGAAAAATCATGAAGAGAAATTGTGGATGAGAAAATAATCCAAGGGAAAACAATTATTTTTAAAAGAGAAAGGGATGTGTGATTCCTTAAGTGGACCTTATACAGCCATTCAACACCATGTATCATGGATGGTGATCTTCTCCCCAACATCACATGAACAAAACTTAATAGAGACGATGAACATTATTTTTAATTTCTTTAGGCCATCGGAACAGGAAAGACTTGTAGCAGATTAGCATATTTTTTTATTGAAACAAACACAAGCCTTCATTTGATATCTTGAAAATGGTCTCTCCTCAACTTATCCAAGCAATAATATACTGATTGGACAGCCCCACTGGAGCATAAGTTTAGCTTTGAACTCTGCATTACAAGCTTTTAATTCCCTCGATATTAGGTTTGTAACAACATGTTGCTACTCTATGTACATGTCACCGTAGATGTATCCAAATTCAGAGGTGTGTTCAAGCTTCAGAGAACCATGTTTAACATAAAAATTGGAATTACTTGTAGTTTTGTTCTTCCATGCAAATGACAATGTGTGAGAGAGAAAGGGAGATAGCTAAACATTTCCATCAATCCTGTACTACAAGAACTATGTCTAGTGTTGGCTTAACATTAATTATAAGCCTAGAGTTTTTGATCAAATAGCATAACATAAACTTCTGTCTTAAATCAATTGTCCACTACTTTTTTTTGTTTACCTATCCTCCTGCGCTGCGCAGTCCGAGAGCTTTTGAAAGTCAAGCATGCATGGGATGGGAAATGGAGTGATCACTTGCATCTGCATGCTTCATATTGATGCCAAAAACTCCTCCCAAGGAGTAGCAGTGAGGAAGAAGCAAGCAAAAACCTAGCTAATTATAAAAAGGCCTCTTATTGGAAGGAGTGAGAGAGAGAGAGAGAGAAGCTGACTGACCTAAAGGACAGTCTTGTGGGGGATTGTACACCTCTTTTTCTCTAAGACTGTTCACTCTCCTGTTCTATTCTGAGCCTTGTTGTTGTGCCCACCAACTACGTACGCTTGCTTTGTCAGCACACATGGCGCTGCTGTGTACCGCAAAGCGAAGCCCTTCTCCTCTGCATGGCATGCGGAGCTCGAAAGAACGCATCCCCACATTACTGTAAGGCGTGCAAAGCAAGCTCAGAAACCATTCTTTGGTGCGTACGTACCTTTCTTCTTCTTCCTCTATATATCCTCCGTCGTGACGCGTCGCTCTTGCCACACTCCATCTTCTTCTTCGTCGTCGTCACCAAACTCATGGCCATGGCTAACGCTGGTCTTCAAGAACCAGTCCCCATCTCTCTCCTCCTCCTCCTCCAAAGAGCTCGTACAACAGCCTATTGCATGCTCCTGATCCCATCGAAACCCCACATCTCTCACCCTTTCTTGGGATAAAGGAGAACAAGGAGAGATACTCGACATGGGGAATCAAGCTCAGTGGTCCGATCGAGGGTTAAGTTCCATGTACATGCAGTTGGTGTCTGTCTTTGTCAAGTTGGCTTGTGGATCTTGTTTTGACCAAGATGATTGATTAGTCTGTGAAAGGTACCGAGATCTTTGTAGCATGATCAGTTTTGAGTACATATCGATATGTAGAACTCCATGCTTCCCATGACACTGGTTGTACTCACTGTTCATAGAAATGAAATCTATATATATATATATATATATATATATGAGAGAGAGAGATTTCGTGCCAACAGCCACTTCTCTCCACGAAAACTGTGTTGTTTTTGCTTCGTCTCCTTCCATCCTCAGCTTTTGTCCAATAGACAACCATCGGTTCCTATTACTTTCATTCTAGCACATGTTGTTTTTAATGGATTATGCATGCATTTTAATATGCCAACAAAAAAACAAAAAAGTAGTTTTCTGTATGTCATTTAAATTTCTTTACATTACATACATATATTAAGTTATATCGACTGGTTATTTAGCTCGTTTGCGTAATTGATTACTCAGACTAGTAAGATTACGCCATGATTTGAGTCTAAGAATCATGCGGGCCAAAAAACCCTCGAATAGTACTCATATGTTACTTGTCGAAAGTGAGTGACAACTCATATGTCACCTACCTACATATATGTTAATCTTATGTCAATTTCACCATTAACGCGAAAGTAAAGTAATCAAATCGGAATTATATCACAGATTTTTCAAGGTCGAACTTTTTAGCTTTACACGATGGATCACTGGAGTATTATCTGATGGGTAAATGTGGGATCTCAAGGCATTATAAGTCGTCACAGTAGTGTTGAATTATTTTGTTGGATTAGAAATCACTAAGATCATATTTTTCACGTCCCAAATACGCATGATCATGATCATGATCAAAATATGGCAACTCCACGATGATGCGTGATGAAAATAATATAAAATAAGAATAATTATTAAAGAAGTTTTATCGAAAAAACTTTATTGAAGAAATAAAAAAACTTAAATATATTAATATGTCCCTCTATTATTTATACATATTAGGAGGAAAAATTTTCATTAACAGAATAGAGGATTTTCCTCAACAGAATAAAGAGATTTCTTCATATAATTAGAGAAATATTATCTATCAATGCCTACAAATACTTAATTCTCCCGAAAAACATGATATTCAATTAAAAAAACAATAACTCAACACTTGATTTCCTGATCAAAGTCGGATTTGCACCGATAGCTCTCTAATCTAAGCATAGTTTCTTTAATCGAGTCCTATCCTACATAAGAAGGCTTATGTCATTCTTGAACCATACTGATCAAAGTGTGACACGTGTAAGTAAATTATTTATATTAAAATTTTTGTTACTGAGTTTTTCTATTTCTGATCATAACATGAAATTTTAATCACATGGTTTTAGTTGAATGGAATTGTTTTAATTTTATATTTGATATATTCAATTTTGAGCATCAATATAATATGATCAAAATTGATCTGATTCATTTTCAAAGTCTTAACACATCGATAAGAGAGAGATTTAAAATGCTTTAAAATACATGATTCGAGATTGAGGGATAATTTGTTTTTCAAAATCAATAAATGTTTGTGTCTTATTTCAATTCATTTCCTAACAAGTGTTATGTTTAGAATGTGTCTGTCTAATTCGACAATCAAGTTAGCATTTGTACATTCTCGGCAACCAAAAAAAAAAGTATTTAGTCTTAGTTTAATAAATTCAGAATGAAAATGTGTCTAGAGATCATTTTATATAATATTTGTTTTGTAACTATTATCGATTACAAAAATATCTGAAGAGAAAATATTCTCCTTAGATGTCATGATGATGTGATATATCGAATTGATGTGTTGTCATCTTCAGATTGATTAGACTTCACATGCCTACCAAGTCCTAATTGATCAACTATTTATACTAGCACTGATTCTATTAGGGCAAATCTCAGTCCAAGTGAAACTCAAAATTAAAATTGAACGGACTAAGATCGGATCCGAGTTGTGTTTATGATAATATGAAATATGATCTGTTGGTGAACAAATGTGGCTAGTGAATCAGTACGGTTAGGTTTACGGGCCGATGTCGAGAGTTTTCTGTGGGTTGATTCGGATGATGAGGTACCGGAGCTCTTGGGAAGGAGTGCCGATTGGCGTTGGTTGGGATCGGGACTGATTGGCGACTCTTTGGTGCCGGACAAGTCGTGCTCTCATACCGAGTCCCTCACCATCGATGAGTGGTAGCCCTCCTGCAAAATGGCCTCCGCCGAGTGGTACCCGACCATGGCCCCTCCGAGAGTGATTGCACTTTTCCTTCTCCCCTGGCCGAAGGCCAGTCAAGGGTTTTATACTGTGACGTGAAGGCTAATGGTGCATATCGGCCCGAGCCCCCAGGATGGGACATGTGGCGTAAGGCTCTGACTTGACATGATGTGTCGATTGTGACGTGTTTAGGCTGTCAAAATATACCATATCATGATCTTTATTCTAATTTGTGCTGAGATTATTTTTGAGAATTGTAATTTATTCCAATCATATGATTTGTAATTTACTCTAATTTATTTATTTTGCATCTACTTGATATTTTTTTATATATATTTTGATAGGACATATATGAGGTTTTTTTCTCAACTTTTGTTGATTATTTGTTATTTATAGTGGAGCAAGGAGGAGCATTACCTAATTTTATATATTTTTAATTTAATCATTAAAGCTTGATCTAGTTTTTGTAAGAATATTTATGAACATTTAAAATTTATTTTAATTAAAATTATTATTATTAACTTTAAAGTTATAATTTTGTTGAAATATATCTTAAGTTCGATGCTCACTCAAGTCAGCAAAAAATCTAAAGGTTGAAATTAAAAAATAATAATTTCAGACATTATATTTTTGGAATAATAAATTCTTTGAAAAATATTCATCCTTCAATGATTTTGATTGAATCGAGCTCCATGAAATTTGTTAGATAATATGCAGACTTCCAATGACAAAGAACACGATGCTTTATTAAAAATGCCAATTAGATAGTATGTCTTTATTAACACAACGCTAAGAGATCAGAAGAACCAAAAATAAAACCCTAGCATAAGAAAACAAGACATGATAGGAGTTCATGCAAAGACACCCCTCTTAAGCTGCAACACCTCTTCTTCTTCCTCGTCCTCCTCGGGCTGTTGGTGATGCCGGATGGGCAGTATGACAGACTCCCTCTGCGCCTTCACGAGCCTTTCCAGCCTTTCCTCGCTGATGCGGAACGCCGCCGCGAGCTCGCGTCCCCTCATGCTCCGGAGGACCGAGCTCGCCCCGATCAGGAACTGCGGGTGGTTCCTCCTCGAAGAGGTCGTGAAGCCGAAGAACTCCATCGGTGCTCCACTCGACGCGATCTGGCAGAAAGGGAAGTATTGTGGGACCCAGAACACATCGCCTTCCGACACCTCTGCATTCATGGCATTTGAACCGTTCGGAAAGACGACCTGGATCGTCCCTGAGCCCCTCAGCACCACTCCGTACTCGGTCGCCATGGGGTTCATGTGCGGAGCCAGCATCGATCCCTGCACACACACATACACACCATATATATATATTTATACATGTATAACTTGTACTTTTGATCTTTTAGCTTGATGTTTTTCCCATGATAAATCAGGTGTATCTACTGACTGCGGTTAGGTTAACGACATAGACGCCGACGCCAGTGCTTCTGAGAGGGGAAAAATCGTCCTCGTCAATGGCGGTAGTCCACCCAAAGCTGTTCCGATAGCTTGGCTCGTTGTCGTAGAGGTTGTAAGCATGCAGCGCTCCAACAGGCTCACCGTTCCCCGCTTTCTTTTTGTCAACCTTTCCAAGCAGATAATCTACAAGCTTTTGCTTTGTCCATGCACTGTCGTCATTGTTGTCGTTGAGATCAGGTCGTTCACTCGACTCCCCGCTCATGTAAACAATGGCGCCGCCCCTTTGGCTCTGCATCATCCGTTCTAATTCCTCAGCGGTCACCTGGGAAGAGTTCAAGATTTGATGAGTACGTCAAACCAAATGGTGAATTAACGATCGAGGTAGCTCACATTGAAGGCAGCCGTGAGGGTGTTGGTATCAAATCCAGCAAGCACTGAAGTCGGGTTCATTCCTCCACCGATGAAGAAAGACTGCCAACGCATTCATTATGACCTCAAGACGAAATGAGATCGAAGAAGGAAGAGGAAGGAGTACACGGCTGCAAAGATTCGACTCACCTGGTGTAAGCTGTGTCCCATACTCTGCGTCGTGTCGATACTGCAAATTATTTGGGACCTGTCGCTACTGTGAGTGTTGACGATATAGAAGGTGGATCCAGCTGGGATTACGCTGACATCGCCCCTCCTCAGCTGCCTCTCCACCAGCTCATCCTCGTGGATCCAGCCAACCTTTACCTCCCCTTCACCACGAAATCAACAATAGAATCACATCACTATATATTTCCTCGCATAACAAATAGATTTAAACATCGTACATCTGTAGAGAGAGAGAGAGAGAGAGAGAGAGAGAGATTCATATACCTCTATGTACGAAGACGACGAGATTGGCATCAACGTACTGTGGCACTACAAGGCTGTTGGGCTCCATTTGGATGAAACCAATGTGCATGGGGCAAGGCTCACTCTTTGATCGATATCTAGACACGACGCGAATCTCACCGGCGTCGGTCCTCGCCACCGTCCTGGATCTCGCAAGCAGGAAGCGACCCCGGAGGCCTCTTCCTCCCCCATGCGCTTCTTCCTCCTCTTCTCTTTCTATTCCCCTCTGTCGGAATCCGCTCGCCACCATCAGACACCAGGAGGAGAGGAGCAGCAGCGTTAGGATCGATGCAGCCATCCGACCTCCCACAGCCACCTCCATCTACTACGCCCTCTTCCTTCTCACCCCTCTGCTCTCTTTGGATGCTGGTAGATATGTCGATGATAAGCGATGTGAGAGTGGAGAGGGACCGAGGGTATATAAAGGATTGACGGGAGAACATGGTCTTGACACGCACAATGCTTGCATGGGGATGTTGGGGCCTACGTGCAAAAATACCAATTCCAGAGTTGGGATTCACGGAGAGATCTTCTCCTTCAGCTTTTTAGCTGCATTGACTGAAAACTTCGACTCGATCGAATAAATATTACATGCCTCTCATAACATGTCGAGTAGTTCAATCATGTTGTGTTCCATCAATTAGAGTTTTCGGTTCTATATAAATTCATGAGAGCTACGCTACATTATAGCAGGAATCAGACCTTAAAAAATAAAAAGCTCAGCAATGCGGAGTGTTTGCTAGAAATTAAATTCAACTTTTAAAAGGAATTAGTTATGATACTCATAAGAGATTGAATTCATGTTTAATGAAAGTTTTAAGATATTTGATATGCACAAAATGGTGGAACTTGAGTCCCACATCCACAGTTAATGGACATCTTTCTCACTCTTTTACTCTCCTTTAATAAATCTTAATAAATAATTAAAAAAATAAATTAGTTTAAGTTTATTGATATGCATTTTAGTTTGATTAATTAAATTTGGGTGTAAGTTTAGAAACAATACATATTTTATTTATTTTATAACATATCGAGTTTTAAAATAAATTAAAAATATTATTATACTAATTCACCCCTTCTCTTAATATCATTAAGATCCTAACAATTATATCCTGATAGGTCATTTATAAATATAATGAGATATCTCCCTCCACAAAAATAGATAATATGAAATTATTCGTAGATATAAATATGAATAATCTCAAGTTATTTTTTATTTCTTAGTATATATTTTTATATATTTAGTTTGCTTTCCTTTAATATAATCTATGCAAACATCAAGATTAGTAAAGTTTAACTCTTTTAAAATATTATTCAATAGTAGCAATCTCTATTTCAAGCAATTCAGTATTAGTCTGACCAAGCTTTAGCCCTTGCATAGCAGACCTTATCCTTCAGTGGAGGCATTTCCCAGAGTCCACACTTTACTCGCATATTGTACAAGGCAAAATAATTGTGAGAGAAATATAATATATACCTATTAAAGTTTGAGTGACAGATGTTAAATAGGTATAGATCAAGTCATATTCCAAAAATTATGGTGACCGGTTTGTACAATGCTTTTTGTTGACTCAGTGTGTTGCAATGCCCCTAATGTTTTCGAGTACAATTGTTCTGACTTCTTGCATCCAATGTTAAATGCCTCCATCATTCTCCCTTGCAGATATTGATCGTGACATCATTTAAGATCATGGGCACATCATGATAGATTCAAATTCTAACAATTTTGACCTTAAACAATTACTCAAGAGCTACTTCAAAGAGAAAGACATACTCCTTGAAACACGAGATTAAGCAGAGAGATGAGAGAAAACCAGATACATGGCAGATAAGAATTATCTGAGAACTAAAAAGCATTACTTAAGCATTTCTAGGAAGATCTTTCAATCTCATCTCTTGAACTAAGTGTTGTACAAAAACCAATTATAACTTGCATCTTATTGGATGAGCATATTGAATCATCTATTTTCAGTATAAAAGAACAATTACCACGAGATTAAGCAGAGAGATAAGAGAAAAACAGAAGCATGGCAGTATGTGAGAACTAAAAAGCAATGCTTAAGCATTTCTAGGAAGGTTTTTCAATCTTATCTCTTGAACTGTGTTGTACAAAAAAACCAGTTATAACTTGCATCTTTTTGCATGAGGTATTACATAGTGAATAATCTATTTTCAGGATAAAATAACATTTACCTCATCAACTGTCATAAACACATAAGAATATGATTATCAGCTTCTCTGAAATAGGATGTAGAGCCTCTTCCAAATCTTCTTTCATTTTTCGGTTGAACTCCTTAGGACCAAGTGAGAGCCATCAATAAGTTGGAACTGGAAACAATATGATGCGCGAGATATGGTTTACGGTTCATGTTATTTCTAGTAGTTCGCTGCCTAAACTTGGCCTTTTCCATGTCTCGTGATTCTCCAATACATCTCACTTGACCATAAATGATAAAGCATATGCAAAGCAATATTCATGAATTCCCAATAACCGGAGAAAAACTCAAAAGGCAAAGATGCTCTTCGAAAGCCAGCCTTTTCTGAACTCACCAGCAGTGATTTTGCAACAAGACAACCATTTTCAAGCTCACCAAAGATTGGATCAGTTGTGGCGGAGCCAAAACCAGATTCCACAACATCTATATTGATGGTTTCTTGCTTCCAAGTTTTGCTAAACTAAACCAGTAATCATTTGTTTGGAAGACTCACATTGGTATCTATCTTGGACCAAGAATCAAGCCCTGCACGCGGCATGCCGCCATTCAACAAGCACATTCAAGACATGTCAATTCCTGAAGTTCTTAGCCTCTTAGATCAGCTCAATCTTACTACAACCTGGAAGCTTTGAAATGCTACAACCTATCATCCCGGCTCTCAGTCGTCCAACATCTGCCCACCTTTCAGCTTCTGCGTAGATGTTCGACATTATAACACACTCCGCATCACTTGGAGACCCCAACTTAGCAAGCTCTTTGAATGCCCTCTCTGCCAATTCAACATTCCCATAGACCCTACAAGCACTAAGAATTGTCTTCCACAGCACTACATTGGCCTCGATAGGCATCTGCTTAATCATTTGGTAGGCTTCTTCCACCAGGCCGCACCGGCTCAGCAGATCAACCATGCAACCATAGTGCTTTATATTAGGCTCAATCTTGTACTCCTGGATCATTCTCTCGAAGAATGCTTGTCCCTCCTTTAAAAGCCCTTTGTGGCTGCAAGCAATCAATACCCCAAGAAAAGTGATCCGGTTTGGCTTTGCTCCCCCATGGCTTGCCTCCCTCTCCATCGATGCGAACAGCTCGAGAGCCTCCTCAGAATGTCCATGAACAGCTAAAGCCATGATCATCGCATTCCAGCAAGTCACATGTTTCAAGCCCATAGTGTCGAACAGTTGTTTGGCCATCTTCAAGCTACCACACTTTGCATACATATCCAATAAAGCGTTGCCTACATACCCTTCAATCCTATAGCCATTGTTATTTAGGTAGAAATGTATCTCCTGACCCTGATCGAGCACACCGGTCTCGGCACATGCCCCAAGAACAGACACGATCGTCAGTTCAGTCGGCTTGACATTGCTCGCCCGCATTTGCTTGAACAGCTCCAACGCGCGCCCGTAACTCTTGACCCGGACGTAACCCGCGATCATGGAGTTCCACGAGATGGCATCCTTTTGCGGCATCTGGAGAAAGACCCTGTTCGCAGCAGCTATATCGCCGGAGTGGACGTATCGCGTGATCATGCTATTCCACGACGCGACATTCTTCTCGGGCATCGAGTGGAAGAGGCGGTCCGTCGCGTCATGGTCTCCGACACGGTGGTACGCGGCTAACATGACATTCCACGAGACGACGGTCTTCTCGCTGGTTTCGTCGAACAGATTGCGGGCATCGTGAATGTGGCCGCAATGCGAGTACATGGACATCAGGGAGTTGCGGACCAATGCATCAGACTGAAACCCGAGGTGGAGGATCCGGCAGTGAATCTCAGAGCCCTTCCTGGCGAGGGCGAGGGCGAGGGAGGAGAGACCAGCGCCGTCGGCGTCGGCGGCTTCGGAGGCTGCGCGGGCACAGGCCTTGAGGAGGAAGGGGAAGGTGAAGGCAGAGGGAGGGATGCCGCGGCGGCACATGAGGTTGTATACGGGGACGGCGCCGAGGGGAGCGATGCTGCGGGAGTAGGCGCGGATCATGGGGTCGCAAAGGTGGGGGATGGCGGGGGAAGGTGCGGCGTCGAAGAGTGAGCGGGCGTGGTGGAGGCTGCCCCAGGAGCGAAGGGCGGCGAGGGTGAGGAGCTTGGCCTGGAGGCGGGGGCAGCGGGCGAGGCCGGACTTGAGGAGGAGTGCGTGGGCCTGCAGCAGGTGGCTCATGGCGCCGCATTTCCCCAGCAGCACTGCTACTTGGTCGGCTGTGTAGGAGACGGTTTTCGTTACCATCATTTCTGGCTCCAGTTCGCCATATTTGATTTTTAGTAAGTATATTATTTTAATTAAAATTTTAATAATATCCTTTAATCGAACTAATTTAAGCCCAATAGCTAGATAGTTCAATCAAAACCTTGATCCACATCAAGTTAATTTTGATCGAATCTTTTCGGTTCAAATTAAGTCAAATTTTAGTTGGTTCGATCGAACCCTTGATCCGCGTCAAGTGGTGGTTGGATCTTTTCGGATCAAGTTGAGTCAAGTTTTGGATCAGATATGTCAACTTAAATAAAAAAGAGGGTTATACTAGTGGGGGTATGTTACTTGGTTACAATCTTACTCTTAATTGATCTCATCTTGTTAATTGCTGTTATGATTCAAAAGGAGATATAAAGTAGACCGGACCGATTCAAGATTACGAAAGGTGAAGTAAAGATGAGCATTTAGAAAGCCAAGCAAATAAAATAAAAATGAACATAAATAAGATGGGTCTAAAAGAAGGGGTTTTTCAAAGATATTTCTTCTAAACATTACGAATCCAATCTTCCAAAATTAGACCCAAAATGAAAGAAGCAACCGCAAGAAATTTCATTAATTGAACCGGTCAAGAGGAGACCGAGCCCAAAACCCATATGGGATCAAACACGTGTAGCGTTTCCATCTCTTCTTTTTTATTTTATATTTCCATTGCTTTTACATATATCTATTCCATGACAAGTTTTGAGATATCATTATTTACGCTCCTAAAAATTCTGATATAATGAATTTAGAATTAAAATCTCTCAATTATAAAATGCATATTAGCTTACGCTTAGTGATTCCGATTACCAACCGTTGAAAAATACAATATTCTTGCTGATTTCTA